ACTTTGTTAGATTTCAATGTTGCAAAAACTCGTCATATGTCAGTCCTAATGTTAAATGTTTCTAGTTTAAGGTAATAAGAACATTAATAAAGCATTTATTCAATGCAATTTATTCAAAATTCTCTTCCAGATCTTGAATTACCCGCTAGTGAACTCCCTGTGAGAGTGAGAGAGAAGCCAACAACAACTGGAAGGTGGTGGATTTCTACCATTTCCACCGCTGAGACAAACGAAGCGGACTGTTGCTCACATACAAACACACATCCACTCAAACGCTCAACTCAATGCGAACTGCCCCGGACCAGGGGGCGGAGCAGTAATGAAATGAAGACAGAAACAAAACAAACAATAGCTCTGGCTGCCCCGGACCAGTGGGCAGAAGAGAAACGAAAACAAAACAAAAACAAATAAGATGACAAGAAATAGAATAGAAAACATACTTATGTATATAATCTCCCTTTTCTGCCAATGTAAGGCAACCACAAATGTTCCCCTTAGTTGATAATTATTTATAGTCAAGAGTATTTTATGCTTTAGCTCTACCCACTCCCTCTCCCCCCTCTGGCTAACGGACTGCTGCCAAAGTGGAGGGATTTCCCCAGAATGATGCTTGCGCCGGCAGCACTGCCGGCAGTGGAGAATTCGTGCTGTCCAAAAGCATCGTATTTTATATTTATATTATATTATATTATAGAATATTTATGATATACTACAGCCCTAATAATTTGTACTAAAAATGCTAGAATAGTATAGGTAGAATAAAGTCCCCATGGCGTAACGTAACACTGGCTCCCCTAACCTGCTGGAACAGGCCAAGGCTCGAGCTGGGTTACGTTGCGCTATGCTAATTACGTATTGCCGCCGTTGCATACGAAAAGACAAAAAGAACTACTGCAGCCGTGCAGTTATATGTCTGAAATGTGGGGAGAAGCATGACCCCAAGGACTGCCCCAAGAAGCGGGAGGATGTGCCGAAATGCGCCAATTGTAATGGTCCCCATGTTTCTAGCTACCGTGGTTGCATCAAATATAAAGATTACTGCAATAGAAGGAAAAATGGATTAGAACAGACCAACAGGATGTTGAGTAAACTTTCGATGCCTACCTTACCCGCCGCTCAGGGTTTGCGGCGTCCGCGTCAGCCACCGCCGGCGAGCGCGCTCAGACGCAAGAGCTCCTGCTCCGCCAGCTCAGATGAGCAGTTATGCTGAGACACTTCGCACAAGGGAGCCAGCAAGCCATTCCCAGCCGCTTCTAGGGAGGCAAGTATGGCAGTCAATGCTACCCACAGCGACCACAACCGGATTCCAGCGCACGGTGAGTAATCAGATCGTCCGTCCTAGCGATGAACTCAGCCAGAAACTGGACAACCTCATCACATTGCTGACACAGGAGCGGATCCAGCATGCGGCCGCCGCTGCTGAATCTACTTAGAAACTGGAAGGGAAAATAGATGTATTAATTGCACAAATGACAAAGCTAACAGATTGTTTATATGCTAGCATGCAGGCGAATTATTATACGCAGAGACCTTCAGCGTTAATGGATACTGCACCTACAGTGCTAATCACCCATCTGGGACTGGTCGTGGGGGATCCCTACTCCTAATCAGAGGTGTAATCCTTCATATTGCCCTGCCTAAGCAGCTGCAACATCCTGGCCACTGGATCTCCTACTTACTACCTCTACAATACTCGGCATACACCATTGGCAATTGACTTCGCGGTCTACAAGGGCATGAGGGACGAAGTGTTGCGTATCTCCCATCTAAATGACCTCTCTTCCGATCATCTCCCAATGGCGATTGAGCTGAGCATGTCTCCAGCGGAGACGGTGACTAAGAGACGCCTCTTGCCCCCAGGGGCTAGCGTTTCGAGGTTCCAATCATGGCTTGACTCGCACATCCGTCTGAACACTGAGCACAGGTCAGCAGAGGATGTTGATGATGCAGCTAATATACTCGAGAGGAACGTGATAGCGGCAGCCGAACATGCCACAAGCAGTCTGAGGAGGCCCGTCCGACCTAGAGTTCAGGCTGAGTACCAGGTCAGCAATCGCATACGGCTGATGATTGCCACCAAGAGGCGCCTGAGGAACCTGTTGAAACAGAACTATGACCCGGCAGCGCGACAGCTGCACAACATGCTTGCCAATAGGATACACAAGGAGCTAGAAGCGGGCAAAGCCAGACGCGCTGACGACATTATTGGCTCAATTGATCCTACCGATCGCTATAGCATGCAGAAGCTATGGAGACTGACTAATGGTTTGAAGCGGCAGCCAGCAGCCAATTTGCCTGTGAGGAAGTTCTGTACCGATGGAGAGGATAATGCTGACGATCCCTGGTGCAAGAGCACCAAAGAGAAGGCAGAGTCTTTTGCTTTGCATCTCGAGCAGAGATTTAAGCCTGTTTTAACCAGCGCGGCAGCTGACAGACGAATTATCGAAGAGTCCCTTGAAGAGTTTGGATCCCCTGAGCTGGCATCTTATCGACTCATTGGCCTGCTTTCGGGCCTGTCCAAATTGTTTGAGCGACTCATTCTGACCAGGATGATGGAAGCTGATGGTTTTGTTGAGTCTATTCCAAACCATCAGTTTGGCTTCAGACATGTGCACGCGGCTGAACACCAATTGGGGAGAGTTACAAAGTTCATCCTGTCCACCTATGAGAGTAACCTGTACTGCTCTGCCATCTATATGGACATTCAGGAGGCTTTCGATCGAGGCTGGCATGCGGGCCTGAAACATAAGATGAATCAGTTGTTACCGGCAGCGATATATAAAGTCATGTCCCACTACTTGGATGATCGGTCTTTCTACGTTGAATGCACAGGCGGCGTCAAATCTAGAAACAAAATGATTGCAGCAGGCGTTCCACAGGGCAGCGTACTTGAACCAGTACTATATAATCTGTACACATATGACATGCCGCTTCCACGCGACAGTGGTATGCTCTTGGCCACTTATGCTGACGACACAGCAATCCTGGCCACTGGCATGAACCAAAAAGCTCAACCGATTCCTACTGAGCATCTCCAACTGGGCAAAGCAATGGGGCATTACCATCAATGCCTCAAAAACTGTACATATAGTGCATACATTGCGCTCGATCCAACAGCCAGTGGCTGATTTGCAGCCGCACATTGCTGACCAGCGGATTAGTAGCATCGCTGTGCATTCGTATTTGGGGGTCAAGCTGGACGCTAAGCTCCAGTTTCACCTACACATCACCAACGTAATCACAAAGGTCAGGGCAAGGGTCCAAAAACTGCACTGGCTCCCAAACTCAAACAGCAAACTGAATCTCGATACCAAGGTCATGTTGTACAAGCAAATGATTGCACCTATCTGGTAGTTCACATTGGCTGTATGGGGTCCATTAGCCAGCAGCGCGGAATTTGTACGGATTCAGGTTGAGCAAAACAAGACTCTTCGCCTGATCTGCAATGCACCATGGTATGTGAGGAACGACACCATTCACAGGAACCTGGAAGTGGACACTGTTGAGGCAGTCTATGAGAAGGCATGCAAAAGGTACACGGAACAAATGAGATCCCACCACAACATTGAGGCAGCCAAAGTGGTCAATGACCCCTACGTACCGCATAGAGTTGCAAGACCTCGGTATTCCGAGTTTCTTGGCAAGCACCTACCCAAGGCACTCGCGAAGCACGAATGGGAACGTATCGTGATGATCCCAAATCAGCGCCCGTACACGGAAGAGGACCAAATAAGCCACGACAGGAACCTTGATGACATGCGGAGGATGCTCATCAGGATGAACCGCCCAGTGTCGCCACTACCAGAGTATAATTACTACACAGAGGTCATACTCCCTAGAAGAAGGTTACTGGAGCCTGCTCCCATAGCCACGGTAGATTTGACGGTCAGCAGCAGAAGACTGCGATTAGAGCGATTGGGCCTGGCAGTTGGTGCAGCTTTGAACGACCTATCCACTGAACAAACGCCTGACACACATTCGCGGCAGAGCGAGAACGGCCAAGTCAATGGAAGCGCGCACATACACACTAGCACAAATGCCCATGGAAGCCAGCCACCGCCAGCAACAGGAACAAGAAGCACAGAAAATAACAACCAAAATGCTCAGCAGCAGTGAAGACTTACCGCCAACACATTCCCGTTCAGCCCCTAAGAGGGCAACAACCATGGCTGCCGCATTTGGACAAACAAACACACAAACGCACGAAAGAAAAAACACAAATATATGCGAGCGCGACGAATGCCACGGACAAAGCAGACACCGAAATGGCCGTTACGGAATGATCACTCTGATTAATATCTTCCTAAACCGATCAACTAACGAGATAGGAATGGACAACTGCAACTTATTAAAAAGAGTAGAAGACTCACGCGAACGACTGCTAAAAACGCGTCCGAACAAGGCGCTGCTGCACAAAATTATGAGCGTTAGCATTTCTGCTGCGCAATTTCTGTCTCCTCCTTCTCTTATAGATCTCGAATTGCCCGCTAGTGAACTCCCTGTGAGAGTAAGAGAGAAGCCAACAACAACTGGAAGGTGGTGGATTTCTACCATTTCCACTGCTGAGACAACGGACTGTTGCGCACATACAAACACACATCCACTCAAACGCTCAACTCAATGCTAGCTGCCCCGGACCAGGGGGCGGAACAGTAATGAAAGAAGAAATGAAGACAGAAACAAAACAACAATAGCTCTGGCTGCCCCGGACCAGTGGGCAGAAGAGAAACGAAAACAAACAAAAACAAATAGAAGACAAGATATAGAATAGATAACATACATATATAATCTCCCTTTTCTGCCAATGTAAGGCAACCATAATGTCGATAATTTAAATTTAAACTTAATTTATAGTCAAGAGTATTTTATGCTTTAGCTCTACCCACTCCCTCTCCCCCCTCTGGCAAACGGACTGTTGCCAAAGTGGAGAGATTTCCCCAAAATTGATGATTGCGCCGGCAGCACTGCCGGCAGAGGAGAATTCGTGCTGCAAAAAAGCATTGTATTTGCTGCCTACGGCTGCTAACAGCAGCTCGTAGACAGCTATTTACATATATTTATATAAGCTACAACCCCAATAATTTTTACCTAAAATGCTAGATTAAGTATCTGTACAATAAAGTCCCCATAGCGTAACGTAACACTGGCTCCCCTAACCTGCTGGATCAGGCCAAGGCTCGAGCTGGGTTACGTTACGTTATGCTAGTTACGTATCGCCGCCGTTGCATACGACAGACAATGTAATTCCTATGGCTGCCTGCAGCGAGCGGCCTCCCACGCCATCTTCTATAAGGGCCTCGTCTACTGCCGGGATTGACCTGCGTATCCGGAATGACTCTCTGGCAACTTCTCCGAATCCACTCCGCAGCCTGCAGCAGCCTATCGCTCCTCCAAAACCTGAAAGAAGACGAAAAATCATCAATGCCAATCTGGATGGCAATAACTCTGCTTACTTCTATCTACAGGCAAACAGCACAGATACTGACGGCCTCCTGGTGAATCCACGGCGAAAGCGGAGGCGAGTAGTCCATCCGGTGGCCAGCTATCCTGCTGCGAATCCTCTGGCTGGGCGCAGCGAGCCGGCTGCAATGCTCCCTCCTGCACGGGCCTCGTCCATTGCCGATGCACATTTCCGCCCCTGGAATCGCCTTTTGACTGGCTCGCCAAATCCGCACCGCAGTATATCCAGCATCCAACGAAGGCCTGTCCGACAGTTACAACAGCCACTGGTGAATCTTCTTCTCATTGGCCTAATGCTGGATTCATGGCAGTTGCAGCAGTCCAATGACGTCACGTGGCATTTACTCAGACCGCTCCCAGGTCACCTGAAATTTCACCGCCGTCCAGTGCGCCAATGGTGGAAAGGCGCACACCGAAAGACACGCCCTCTGGAAGCATATAAGCGAAGCAATCTATAAAAATCAAATACTTACTCACTAACGGTGCGGCTTTATACTTCCCCTGAGACTGCAGCAGCCTGATGAAATCACCGGGTCCATTGTTTTGACACCTGCTCAAGCCAACTTCTACAGACCCAATTCCATCCAGTGAGCTGATGATAGAGGTTCATACCTATATACATATACGTCCACTGTAATTAAATGGGCAAAGAAATTATAATTAATATAGCTTATATTTGTTAAATTTATAATTTTTAATACTTACAATGCAATTTCCAAATGTAAAAAAACGCACGTTGTTGCCAGAGAGTCTTGATTTCTTGTAATGTAAAGTTTCTTATCCATCTCTATGTAACATTATGTAAAATGTCCCAACCATGTATAATTAGTGGTTCAGCTGTTAAAATAACAGCCGTTAAAAATATTTGTAAATGCGTTAAAATGTAAAAACTGCGAAAACAAATAAAATTAGCTGAGGGTCACTGTGGCCAATCAGTCCTATTGTGCTCGCGCCGTCAACACACAACCCGAAAAAACAGCTCCACAGCCACCACAAAAAACGTTAGGGCCAACGCCAGCCGCCATTCCAGAGACGGATCCTGAAACGGATGAAGAATATGATGACGATGAGATGTGGACAGATGACGACTCCATGGATGACATTAAGGCCTACGCCCGCAACATGAGGTACCATCTCGACAACCAGATATCCTGGAACGCTGTGTACTAATTGGACACATCTCTGCCACTGCACTGGATTAAATGACAAATGCATATCACTAGCATGCCACAACAAAAATGAACAACGGACGCTTCCGCCATCAAAGCAATTAAATAAAAACATAAACACACAAACACCCATTACACTTGGGCGGCCGGACCTGTGCCGTTCGAGTTATGCCATCGCCATCGTCCTTAGTTGGTGGCCGGATCCAGTGCCATGGCATTCAGAGTGCCCTATGGTCCTGGAAAAGGAAAAATTTATCAGCCACAAATACGATTAAAAAGGGCTCTCAAAATACTTAACGCCAGCCATTCAGACACACACACACACACATCCATTACACTTGGGCGGCCGGACCTGTGCCGTTCGAGTTATGTGTGCCATTGTCCACCATTGCCCACAGCTGGTGGCCGGACCAGTGCCACTCGCTCTACATCAGGGCCACAATTGCCGACGCACACACACACTCACATCCATTTCACTTTGGCGGCCGGACCCGTGTCGCCACAGTAATATGTATGCCGTCTACTCCTGGCTTCCAGCTGGTGGCCGGACCAGTGCCACTGGTTCTCCAAGAGGGCAGCCACAGCCACAACGACGACGAGGTGCTAATTGCAGCTACCTCTGACGACTTTGGATGGCTCTCAAAATACTTAACGCCAGCCATTCAGACACACACACACACACATCCATTACACTTGGGCGGCCGGACCTGTGCCGTTCGAGTTATGTGTGCCATTGTCCACCATTGCCCACAGCTGGTGGCCGGACCAGTGCCACTCGCTCTACATCAGGGCCACAATTGCCGACGCACACACACACTCACATCCATTTCACTTTGGCGGCCGGACCCGTGTCGCCACAGTAATATGTATGCCGTCTACTCCTGGCTTCCAGCTGGTGGCCGGACCAGTGCCACTGGTTCTCCAAGAGGGCAGCCACAGCCACAACGACGACGGGGTGCTAATTGCAGCTACCTCTGACGACTTTGGATGACGCCAATTTCGACGACCAGGGGGGACGACGGGGTCGGCCGGTATGCAACGCAATGTCTTTACAAGCATTGTGTTTTGCTATGCCGGCCGATGCTTCTTGTCTTCCCTGTAATTATAGAAAGAGATATAGACATTATTTTAAATTGTTATGTTTATTGTAATATTGTAAACGTAAATCAATTGTACCTGTTTTGTCTCGTCTTTGTTCCAGTGTAGTATCTCTTTTATTACCTGTTTTTCCGTCGTCTCCACTCCAGTCTACTACTTATCTGTATTGTTATTTCTTCAAGTGCTTGTCTCTTTTTATTTAGTTTAGTGTATTTCCTCTTATTTTCCACGCAAAGCACCTGCATTGTTTACCTTTTCTCTTTATCTATTCCTCAATTGACTACGTGTTGCAACACTGCACTTTCTGAATTTTCGATCCCATTTCTTTAACCCCTTCTTCCCCCCCCCATTGTTATTATCGTAATTAGTGCGGTTCTCCGACACCCCACTACAAAATTATTACAATCTGTGATAAAACTTCGGCGGCAACGGTGCTGACAATTGATTATCGGTTTCGTAATCGACTTTCAAATCAGCATCAGTTGCCGCCACACCCCACCACTACGGCCTAAACTGAGCCAAAAATGCTAGTCTTCGCATAAATCAACTACGCCCCCTATAAACTGCTCGCCCACATGTACATGTTACATTCCTAGTCGTCTGCCCTCAGCAGGCGGCAAGGGTAGTAGAGGGGACTGAAGACCACATACCGCATTACAGCCAACAAAAGATCAAGTTGACAAACTCACAGGGGATTGCAAATCAAATTTTAAGTTAGGGAGAATTACAAAGAAGAGACAGCATACTTTTGAGCGTGGCCCCACTTTACTTTCTTGACTCACACCACACACACACACTTGCCACCCTCTTGACAATTCGTACTTTTGGAGCCTTTTGCCCCGATCGTGGAGTGGTCTCGAGTCTGGATCTCTATCCAAGTGAAAAAGTCGTGTCGTGAACGTTGTGGAGTCGAGTCGTGTTTGAGGTTTAGTCCCTCCGTCAAAGTGCCGAATATTTTGTCTCTCTCTTTTTCTCTTTTTCCCTTGCCCCCCCTGCTGACTGCGGGCCTAGTCGAGGTTACAAGTGTTTCGTTGCTGCAGTTTATATGTTTGTAAATTATTGTGCCATCAAATGTACCAGTGTGTTTGAGTGTCGTTTAAAAGTTAAATTGTAAAAAACAAACAACAAAAATGTACATAAACTAAATTAAGACATATACTGCACACAAACTGAAATTAATAAAGCAACGCGCTTGGTAGCTGGCGGCTCACACCCCAGCCTCTCAGTTCCTCCCCTGTTGGAGCACTGAGAGCCCTCAACCCAAAGCGGGTATATATTGGAAAAAAGACGACGACGATGATCCTCCAGTACCTGAAATAGAAAATAAATAGAATTAAATTAGTCTATAAATGTCATTAATGTTGCAATTTTGTCCAAATACTCATCTCTTTGTGACCACCTGTTTGTATAAATGCACGTCAATAGTTGCGAATGTCAAAATAGGGCTGCCAGACTGTAATACTGATAATATGTAAACATGTCTCTAGATGTTAATGTTAATGTTAATGTCAATTGCCCGCAAAAATTCAAAAGAACATTATTGTTGTTAGTTAAGCTTAAATGTAAATTGCCGAAGTAATGGTAATAATGGGCGAGTGTGCGCATCGTAGGCGTGCACGCGCATCAAATTACATCGAGGAAAAAAGCCAGTAGCAAAGCTGGCGGGCGAGTGTGCGCATCGTAGGCGTGCACGCGCATCAAATTACATCGAGAAACTAGAGAACACAATGGACTCTGCAGTAATTACTACACCCGACTAATGCAGCACTCAAATCTTTTTGCCTGTGAAATCGCAACACATCCGTACATCCCCAGGAAGCTGGCCAGACCAAGGTACGCCTCAATGATGGAGCAGCACAACAGTACTCCAGGCTAGACGCGAGAACGCGAGAAAAATATTGTTAAATTAACAAAAAGCCAATACCGTAACTTGTGTAACCCAGTCCCTTTACAGTCGTGTCTGCCACTACACATATTTAGTTAAGCATTAGGCGCAACAAATTTTGTATAATGTAGTATTCAAAAGTACAAACACAATAAAAGCAACTTTCTCAGTTTTGTTCGAACAGTCGAACACATCACAAAAGTTTCACCGGGAACGATGACATAAAGCTGACTCACAATTTAGGCACAATTGATGAAGTGTTCCATACGGCAAGTGGCCGCTTCGCCAATTCCGTGGCTTGCCATGTCAATCCAAAAGCTCGGAAATTGATACTGCAGCCGTATGAGCCACAGCGACTGCAGAGGCCAAGATATCTGCAACAGCTCCTTCAACACATTCGCCTGCTGCAGCCTCAAAATCAGGATCGGAGCAGCCAACAGCAGCAACATCCAGATCCGGTCATCCCCGAGGATTCCCTTCTAACGCTGGTCCGGCTCGAAGAGGAGGAGCTGAAAAGAAAGAGACAGGAGGAATCAGACGCCAGGCAATTAAGAAGAATCCGTCAACAAAATATCATTAATCCGAACACCAAAAGGTTCAACGGATTGATGATAAATTGCGTTAGGAAACGTTACCTCAGCGGCCAAACTCCCCGGGAAATGAGTAGTGGCTCTAATCTTCGGCCAGCCTCTCTCTATCAAAGGATAATCCTGCCGGACTACGAGGGGGATCCCGATCCAGTGACTGCGCAGCAGACACAGCAGCAGACGCAGCAGCAGACGCAGCAGCAGACTCAGCAGCAGACTCAGCAGCAGACTCAGCAAATTCCGGCGAGCAGCTTCCGGCCGACGTCACACTATCGCTGTCAGACACGGGCTGCATCCAGCAGCACACGCACCCTGGACGACAGCCATCAACGCAATCCGCAAGAGGCACTGCTGGACCACGGACTGGAGCAAGTCCGACGGCGCCTCGAACGGGTGGTCGACAGTGACGACGATGTACAAATCATCTCAGATAACGACGACGACGACAGCGACGATGATGCCAGCCAGTGCAATGCACACACCGCTGCAGTCACTCTGCACTCTGTTGCAGCAAGGCGCCGCTCACTGGGATGCCGCAGCTAGTCCAATGATCCTGTGTTGGTCTTTGTCGGTATTCCTGGTGAGTGTTAAAATGGTTTTAATATGCACACCTTCATTCCATTCACAGAGAATCAAAAATACTCACTTGAAGCGCGTGAAAACACGCTTGCGACAACGGGCGGTGTCTCCAGTCGTTCCTCCGATGCCCCTCCATGAGCATCATCACGGCAGCTGGCGTCCAGAGGTGTCCAATCGACAAGCGTCATCACGGCTGCTGGCAGGCCATGAGTGCCAATTCGGAGATGTTTGCGCTGCACACACGGCGCATCCGAATCCACGCAGGGATGGTTTTCCTGCACTTCATGGCTGCTGGCAACCATCG